AAGTCACAACATGGCACTTTTATACAACAAACGGCAAGAAATTGTTTTTTAAAGTGTGTGCTGGGAAAAGACACTTAATAGGAACGCTTTGTTGTGGTAATAGGGAGCAATCCAATTTTTTTTAAATGATCCACCAAAATAGAAGTAAATGACAGCAGTTCAAATGCACATAGCCCAGTTTAAAATTGTTATGTAGAACTGTGCATTGATCTGAAAAATATTTTGAGTGACCAGGCCATCCATTTGCATTTGACACGTCTTCACTTTGGGTCTTGGCCCTATGGTCAGCTGAGATTTTTTGCTGTTTTCTTCAGTTCCTCCATACCATTGTTGGAACAGAAAGACCATGAACACTTCTCAATTGATCATCACACTGATCCTCCCATTGGTTCGGGGCAGGGTACACCATTCACATTCCGGCACCTATAAACCTAGCCCCACACACCCTACTGGCATATTCATCGCCCAGATGTCGGAGGCAGTATGACCTCTGAAATGTTGGTTAACATCGACCAGACTACACAGCGCAACAACCCAGAAGAAAATCTTCATAATGATGCTTTACAGTTTTAAATAATTTATTTCAATTGCACACTCATAACTGCCTATCTACAAAGTTGTGTTACATAATATGTTTCCCACATATTATTAACTTAATAGTCAAAGAAGGACTGGAAATTCCTAATGTGCAAAGAATCATTGAAAAAGTAAGAACAACAGTTTCTCATTTCAAGAGGAGTACCAATGCTAATGAGAAACTCATAACTTACCAACAAAATAACACTGGCAGACAAGCACTTAAGTTGATTCACGATATACCAACTCGGAAGTCGACTTATGACATGTTAGAACGATTCGCACTACTAGAGGAATCACTTAAACCTACAATAGCATTTATTGATAAAGATCTTCCCATTTTGTCTTCTGAAGACTGGAAGATAATCTGGGAATTGATACTAGTCCTCAAACCATTCCAGTCAGTTACAAAAACAATGAGTGCAGAAAAGTATGCCACAGCATCTCTAATCATCCCACTTGCAATTGGCCTGAAGAATGTTTGTAACATTCTGCTGAAAAAATCATTTTGCAAGGAGGTGCAGCACGTGATACAGTGCTGAATTAGATTAATACAAGAGCGCTTTGGAAGCCTGGAACAAAGCACAACATTGATGGTCTGCACATTTATTGATCCTCGCTTTAAGATGTTAGCATTCTCTGATAAACAAATTTCAGAAAATGCCAAGCAGAAAGTGACTGCACTGATTGCATCAAAAGTCAACCATAATGTTGATACCACACCACATTCACCAATGGTCACTACAGATGCAGATGAATTGTGCGTGTGGAATTATATTGACATATCAGCTACAAGAAATCCACCAAGAATAGGTAGAGCAACATGAAGAGACATTGTAGAGGTAAATCGTTACCTTGAAGAAGCATTTCTTCCAAGGAACGAAGATCCTTTGCAATGGTGGAAAGCGCATCAATTCAATTATCCACACCTCAGCATGGTTGTCCGTGAAATATTTTGTGCATTAGGCAGCTTGGTGCTTTGTGAAAGTTTTTTTTCAAAAGCAGGGAATCTGATTACCGAGCGTCGGAATAGATTGAGCAGTAAGAGAGCAAATATGTTTGTGTTTTTGAATTGTAACCTGGGGAATGTTAGTTAATTCTGTTATTTTCTTGCTTCTTTTATGCTAATGTATTTACCTTGTGTTCAGTTTCCAAAATGGCTGATTGTTTGCAACATACCATATTGTATACGAAATGTTATATTTTAAAAAGAATAGTAGTTTAACTAACGTTAGGCGTACACCTAACCTAACTGAAAACTTTCATTTTAGATACGAAGTATTATATACAATATTCTTGTAATAAAGTTATTTTATTTTATTTTTTAAATAACCATTATTTCAAATACAACTTACACATTCTGAATTTTCGACATGTTAATTTCTGTAATTTTATTATTCATAAAATCAGCTGTACTGTAATCACACGTAAACAGAACAGCAACAGACAGCCAATCATATTCGCAGTTGCATCACTGTGTACCACCATAGTCAATTTTACCAATGCAGCGATGAGCTGAATCACAACCGTGGCAGAATATTAAATGCATGCTAGCATCTCGAACACTTTCACCGTGTTTGAGAGTGTGCTAACACAGTCACGCCTGTGATCACAGAAGAGCAGTTTAACTCATCACTAGTTTTTGCACCTGGACCTTTCCAAATACAGATCATACCAACATGATACCCAGCAAATGTGCATAGCATTTTGGGTTTTCCTGCATGTTACTTGGGATAGTAATTAGTTCGACAAAGGTTGATTGCATATCCATTAAGCGGAACATATAGAGACTGTTAACATCACATTACTTCTAATGCGTATACATACATCTCATTTTCATAAATACTCTATTTATATTTGTATCTTTTGTGTTGGCCATGCTTCCACGAGAAGCATGTAACATTTGCCGTACGTTTAATGTTTTGTTATAGACACATGTCTTTAAATTTTGTCAACCAGGTTGAGTCATTGTATTAAAAGTGCTATAATATGATTATGGACTAATTGCTCGGAGTTTTGTGCAGTCACTGTTAAAGTTACAGACGTACATTCAACAATGCTGGCGAAAAAGAGAAGGAAATCAGGTTATGAAGACCATTTTGATGAAATCCCAACAGCGAAAAAGACGAATTTATTTTGTGCAAGTGTATTTCGAAAGAGCATTCAAGGAGAGGACGCCATTACAGGTTAGCGCCATCAATTCAAACATACACTTAAGCCATACATATTATTATAATCTGTGGGGTATTTCGCCTCCACCATCAGAATTATATTGCATGTTGAGTATGTTGAAGACTTGTAATCCGAAATGATTGGGATAAGATGCTCCTCCGATTATCTGGGTTTTATTTTAAGTTTTAGTAAGAGTAATAAATTACCGGGATGGATACATCGTAAAATATAAAGTAGCTTCTAAGTTATACATAAAATTATCAGCCCCAGAGAGTGCTTCAGAAATGCTGCAAATGCAGAACCAGAATTTTATAACTGGAACATTTCAGTTGACAGCTAACTTGACATTTGATAATTGGCGTTTGCAGATGCAGATGCCGTTTCATTAAATTAGGTTTATGTGCAGACACACGCTGCTGCCTAGAATAGTGGCATCAGAAATATTTTCATTTTACTCATTAGACTAGCCTAATGTTCCAGCTTTTCTTAGTGCCTTAATTCCTAGTAAATTTAATGTTGGAGGGGCAAGGAGATGGGCAACCAGAATATTTGGCTACCACATTTGCAGAAAGTATTTAAAATCCTCATGTTGAGTCTTTCTAGCACAAACCAAAACCTGCCCAGCTGTGTAAGGTGGCTCACATGGCTGGTAGCCTAAGAAGAATTTGTTATACTGAGTCGCCATGAAAACTTCAGATCACACATATATCATATCTGCCAACATCACCAATAATACTGACAAAGAAAGAATGCAGTGACTGCATGGGGTTGTAGTACTGATAAATCATTATGTTTTATAATAGCAGGAAATTTCATGACTTGCTGAATACTGAATTCTCTCTACCACTGAGTTTGTTAAGATACCATACATTATTTGTTTTTATATTTTCAGCTGTAAAAGAATTTGTAAATCTCTGCCAGTCAGCGAACACTCAAAATGTTGTTCTCCAGTATCTGGAGGCAGGTGGAGGCACACAGGAACTTCTTGGACTTCTGAAATTAGATCAGAAGAATAATATGACTTCTGCTGTGCCTATATTTTCTGCCTTGCAATGTATCATCATGAAGTAAGAAAATATTATATTGCTATTACCGGGGCTGTGGAGTCGGTATTAAAACCCCCGACTCCGACTCTTTCATAAAAGCTCAATATATATTAATAATGGTACACCTACTAAAATGGTAAATGGTACCACAAGAGATTTCAACACCACCACGTTATCATCAGCCTACTTTTTAGACTTGTAACATATATTTAAATATACATCTAATGGTTATTGCAGAAATCGTGTGGTTTGTAGACAGCTTGTATTCTTAATTTGCCGGAGCCAAAGTTACAAAACATTATTCCCGCACCATGTGGCTCAATGCGTCATTGAATCTCCCTAAGCGTCAGGCTGCCGGCGGCTCACACGGTAGCGAAAGTGTTTTTAAGATTCTATATCGAGGTTGGAGTTGGTACATTTTTAACAACTCCGACTCCACCTAAAATTGCTTCCGACTTTGACTCCACAGCCCTGGCTGTTACATTAAGACAAAAAGGTACTATTACTAAACATCACTAAAGATGTAACCCTTAACATCATGCACCTAGTGAAATAAAATGTAGATTTTGAAGGTCTTTGATGAGAGAAAGTGAATGTATTCTGCCATTAGAAAATTAGCCAGGAAAGTGTGCTTTCTTTATGTAAGTCTGTGCCATGTAGCAAGAAAGTTGCTGGCAGCATACCACTATCATTTTATGTTTATGTTTTCAACTTAGGGGTTCAATTGAAAAGGTTTAACTAAAGTTATCTTTATTCTACCTTATGTTTCTTAAGTAATAGATCTTTCTTTTGCGGTTCATAAAAAAGGTGTTGGTACACAATATCATTGTGCGACATCCAAAGGAGCCGTCCTATTTTCTATTCGTAGCATTTTAATACACTTTATTTATTTTGGGGATTATTTAATGCATTAAACTTCTTACAAATTTACATCAGTTGATAGGATGATTAGTGAATAATGAATTAGAAAGATATAGAAGGGAGCAATCATGGCCCATTTAAGGTACTATCTTGGTATTTGCCTGGTGAGACTGAAGAAAACTGTAGAAACCTTCTGTCATGATGGCCAGTCACTGGGCCCATATTTAAACCTGAGACCTCCCAATTACAAAGCAGGAGAGGTAATTTCTTAACCACTATGTTCGGTTCATTGAAGGTGTGAATGCTTTGGGCTCATAATATTCTAAAACATGTTTAGTTATTATGAAACTCACTGGATCTAAGTTACATTGTTGATTCCTTAAAGTTTGGTGCCATTTTTATGTGTTCTTTGCACAATGTGCATGAAATGAACACATATATGGCTGGTCCTCTCTGTATGTCCACATGATTCAACTGAAGAATAGTTGGACAGATTTGGATGAAATTTGGTATGGATGTTATGCCATTGGGGACTGCCCTATAATTATAGTTTTAAATTTCCTACAAGGGGTCCGCAGTGGCCGCGCGGTCTGAGGCGTGGGTCTTGTGCCGCTTCGTCGCAGGGACCATGGGTTCGAATCCCACTCAAGCCATGGATGTTTTTCTGTGTTGTGCTGTCCTGCGTACAGGTAGAGGCCTTGTGATGGGCCGATCCCTCGTCCAATGAGTCCTACCGAATGTCCATAGATCAAGCCAACTGAAAATTTTATAGCTCGTAAAGGTTACCGAAAAATGTACAAACATTTTTAAAATCGAAAAAGAAGAATAATTTCCTATAATCAGTGATACTGACATGGCAGACAAACAAATGTGTGAGGTGGGCTCAACACTAGCACTTGGAATAAGGCTATACAACAATGAACGGTTACAGATTTTTGCCACACACCCTTCCCACTTACTGTTATAATTACGAGGTATCACTGAGACTTTAACAGTGGAATGAATATCATGACAGCTGTCAAGGATATTCGAAGATCTTAACTTTGTGGACTGTCAAAGGAATTACTGTGTTTATACATTGGAAAATACAAAACTTTGGCCTAGATTTGCTTTATAATTTAAAATAACAAGATGGCTGTATGAAAAAAGGTTTTTAGTTTACAAGGATTTGATCCCATACAAGTCTCTTATGCTACCACAGAGGTAATAGACCTTGCAATACATTAGTATTGAATTTACATTATTTATAGAAGACATTATGACCATACGATTTGTATAGTTAGGAACTAAAATTATCTAAGTAAGATAATGACATAATCTTTTAATTCAGAAGTTTCCAAGATCACATTTGTGTATTCCGATATGGATTATGTCTTTCCAGGGTACTTTATTTTTCATGTTCTATTTCAGAACCCTAACTGAAGCTCAACAGTACAGACCTAGTGTAGAAGATGGATGTAAACATCTTCTGAATCTTCATCTGTCGACAATACATCATATGTTGTCTTTGAAGAGTACTGCAAAACATAGACAGATAGTACTTAAATTGTTAACAGGTGTGTTTTTATAGTAAGTGCGGCATTCAAAGCTGTTAGCAGCAAACTCATATCTTTTGAAAATTCATATCAGTCCAGACAGATTTAATTTTTGGAGGAGTAAAGCAAAACAAAGTCTTAAAGCATATTTCTAATGGAGAAGGGCCGCATTTATGGTTGTTGGTTAGTGTGTGTGAGGGTATTTCTGTTTGTGTAAGTAAATAAATGTATTCACTTTAATAACTTTGTTTAGCCATAGTGACCCTTAGTTCTCAACTAGCGCGGATGATTTTAAGCCATGTGAAGATCAGTCTTCCATTGCGGGCTGTACTAATAAAGCACACAAAACCAGTGGACAAGAGTGTGCGCACTACTTTCATACATTTCTTAATGGCGTTCCTTTTTGATGGCTCTGTGTCAGTCATTTGGCCTCTACTAGATATTAAAGGTAAGTATACAGTTACACATGTACTATATGAAAATGTTTTTTTGCACTTTGGTGTAATTAAAAGTGTCTGTGTAACATGGTCAGAGTTTCTGGAAATTAATTGTACTAATATGAGTTTACGCAACACTTCTTTCAGAATCTTAAACCTTGCATCTAGTTATCAGTGTTGATACTGTCCATGTTGTTCTTCCTGGCCTCTCGTTTGTGGGTGCGCCGAGGGTTTGGGCGAGTCCAAATTCTGTTATTGTTTCACAAAGGTGTGTTTGGGTTAGATGTGTTACAGCTGTGGACACATGAGGTATTGCTGACACTGCCAAGTTGTGATACTAACGTACAGACAAACATCCAGTAGATTCTAAGATGCCTCCTATTCAATTACTTTGAAATATTTTGGTGCAGTGAAAGTGTCTTGTAGTGGTGTTGTTATAGCTACACTACAGGTGAGTCAGAAGTATGTTTACAAACTTCGTGTGCGTGTTCCAGGATCAAAAATAAGAAACAATGTTCCTATGAACATGGGGTCACAAATGTTTCATTTTCGAAATAATAGCCAAAAATAAGTTTCAACGTATGCCTTTATGGCCAAGTATAAGTACAAGGACATTTCTTTATAACAGATGTTCAAAGGTTGTTCCTCCATTCTCCACACATGCACGAGCAAGACATACACAAGAGTGACGAATTCGTTCGTACACTCCAGGGTTTCCTCGAATCATCTGTAATGCATTCTGCACACGTTCCCATAGGTCGTCTTCATTGTTTATGGGTATTGTATAAACAACGGACTTCAAGTGACCCCACAGATAAAAGTCCAATGGTGGTCATGCTACTGGGCCACCATGCCCAATCCATCGCTGAGGGTACTGTTCATCGAGATGATATCTGACGCGATGGGAGAAGTGTGCTGGGGCTCTGTCGTGCATAAACCACACCACTATGTTCGGTTCATTGAAGGTGTGAATGCTTTGGGCTCATAATATTCTAAAACATGTTTAGTTATTATGAAACTCACTGGATCTAAGTTACATTGTTGATTCCTTAAAGTTTGGTGCCATTTTTATGTGTTCTTTGCACAATGTGCATGAAATGAACACATATATGGCTGGTCCTCTCTGTATGTCCACATGATTCAACTGAAGAATAGTTGGACAGATTTGGATGAAATTTGGTATGGATGTTATGCCATTGGGGACTGCCCTATAATTATAGTTTTAAATTTCCTACAAGGGGTCCGCAGTGGCCGCGCGGTCTGAGGCGTGGGTCTTGTGCCGCTTCGTCGCAGGGACCATGGGTTCGAATCCCACTCAAGCCATGGATGTTTTTCTGTGTTGTGCTGTCCTGCGTACAGGTAGAGGCCTTGTGATGGGCCGATCCCTCGTCCAAGGAGTCCTACCGAATGTCCATAGATCAAGCCAACTGAAAAGTTGGGGACCCGTAAAGGTTACCGAAAAATGTACAAACATTTTTAAAATCGAAAAAGAAGAATAATTTCCTATAATCAGTGATACTGACATGGCAGACAAACAAATGTGTGAGGTGGGCTCAACACTAGCACTTGGAATAAGGCTATACAACAATGAACGGTTACAGATTTTTGCCACACACCCTTCCCACTTACTGTTATAATTACGAGGTATCACTGAGACTTTAACAGTGGAATGAATATCATGACAGCTGTCAAGGATATTCGAAGATCTTAACTTTGTGGACTGTCAAAGGAATTACTGTGTTTATACATTGGAAAATACAAAACTTTGGCCTAGATTTGCTTTATAATTTAAAATAACAAGATGGCTGTATGAAAAAAGGTTTTTAGTTTACAAGGATTTGATCCCATACAAGTCTCTTATGCTACCACAGAGGTAATAGACCTTGCAATACATTAGTATTGAATTTACATTATTTATAGAAGACATTATGACCATACGATTTGTATAGTTAGGAACTAAAATTATCTAAGTAAGATAATGACATAATCTTTTAATTCAGAAGTTTCCAAGATCACATTTGTGTATTCCGATATGGATTATGTCTTTCCAGGGTACTTTATTTTTCATGTTCTATTTCAGAACCCTAACTGAAGCTCAACAGTACAGACCTAGTGTAGAAGATGGATGTAAACATCTTCTGAATCTTCATCTGTCGACAATACATCATATGTTGTCTTTGAAGAGTACTGCAAAACATAGACAGATAGTACTTAAATTGTTAACAGGTGTGTTTTTATAGTAAGTGCGGCATTCAAAGCTGTTAGCAGCAAACTCATATCTTTTGAAAATTCATATCAGTCCAGACAGATTTAATTTTTGGAGGAGTAAAGCAAAACAAAGTCTTAAAGCATATTTCTAATGGAGAAGGGCCGCATTTATGGTTGTTGGTTAGTGTGTGTGAGGGTATTTCTGTTTGTGTAAGTAAATAAATGTATTCACTTTAATAACTTTGTTTAGCCATAGTGACCCTTAGTTCTCAACTAGCGCGGATGATTTTAAGCCATGTGAAGATCAGTCTTCCATTGCGGGCTGTACTAATAAAGCACACAAAACCAGTGGACAAGAGTGTGCGCACTACTTTCATACATTTCTTAATGGCGTTCCTTTTTGATGGCTCTGTGTCAGTCATTTGGCCTCTACTAGATATTAAAGGTAAGTATACAGTTACACATGTACTATATGAAAATGTTTTTTTGCACTTTGGTGTAATTAAAAGTGTCTGTGTAACATGGTCAGAGTTTCTGGAAATTAATTGTACTAATATGAGTTTACGCAACACTTCTTTCAGAATCTTAAACCTTGCATCTAGTTATCAGTGTTGATACTGTCCATGTTGTTCTTCCTGGCCTCTCGTTTGTGGGTGCGCCGAGGGTTTGGGCGAGTCCAAATTCTGTTATTGTTTCACAAAGGTGTGTTTGGGTTAGATGTGTTACAGCTGTGGACACATGAGGTATTGCTGACACTGCCAAGTTGTGATACTAACGTACAGACAAACATCCAGTAGATTCTAAGATGCCTCCTATTCAATTACTTTGAAATATTTTGGTGCAGTGAAAGTGTCTTGTAGTGGTGTTGTTATAGCTACACTACAGGTGAGTCAGAAGTATGTTTACAAACTTCGTGTGCGTGTTCCAGGATCAAAAATAAGAAACAATGTTCCTATGAACATGGGGTCACAAATGTTTCATTTTCGAAATAATAGCCAAAAATAAGTTTCAACGTATGCCTTTATGGCCAAGTATAAGTACAAGGACATTTCTTTATAACAGATGTTCAAAGGTTGTTCCTCCATTCTCCACACATGCACGAGCAAGACATACACAAGAGTGACGAATTCGTTCGTACACTCCAGGGTTTCCTCGAATCATCTGTAATGCATTCTGCACACGTTCCCATAGGTCGTCTTCATTGTTTATGGGTATTGTATAAACAACGGACTTCAAGTGACCCCACAGATAAAAGTCCAATGGTGGTCATGCTACTGGGCCACCATGCCCAATCCATCGCTGAGGGTACTGTTCATCGAGATGATATCTGACGCGATGGGAGAAGTGTGCTGGGGCTCTGTCGTGCATAAACCACATTTGTCTTCTTGTATTCAGTGGTACATCTTCAAGGAGACGTGGCAAGTGTCTTCTTAAGAAATGCCGATATGAAGGTCCTCTTAGACGCGATGGAAGCATGTGTGGACCAATAAGCATGTCGCCAAGAATTCCTGCCCAAACATTAATTATAAATCTTTGCTGGAAGCTGGATTCACTTTGATATAAGGTCAATTCATTGAAACTTATTTTTGGCTATTATTTCGAAAATGAAACATTTGCGACCCCATGTTCATAGGAACGTTTTTTTCTTATTTTTGATCCTGGAACACGCACACGAAGTTTGTAAACATACTTCTGACTCATCCTGTATAGTTCTATAAAAGTCCGGAGTTGTTTTCTGTGTGTCTCAAGTGTTGGGTACGTATGGCAGATGCTTTTCATTAGACTAGTAATTGTGGACCAGCATGCTGCAGTGAAATACGTTGCTTCTGAGAAAGTTCCCCCACTACTTTCTCCTACATTCCCCTATCACGCCGGCTAGAGACCAGGAAGAATAACATGGACTATACATACCTGTTCATTATCTGTCCACATTAGAATTTCATTTTAGTGTTCATAATGCATTTTGATGTCATTCTCATCAAAATTATCATAAGGTGAAAATTTTTCACAGAGATTTATAAAATTCGTGATGCTTTTCATAACAGTATTGAAATCATTAATACAATAAATTACCCTGAAGATGGAAGCAGCATCCAAAATACCACAATTCAAATAAAAGCAGTTTACACTTTAAATCAAAATATGTTATGAAAATAATAATAAAAATAAGTTGTTTTGATGGACAGTGTACATTTACATAATTAGGTTGAAACTTTAGTAAACATTAAGCAGTAAAGTCGGCCGTGCTCTTTTGGGTTTTGTGGCATTGTGTAGACTTGTACGTCAATGCCAGTGTTTTGGAGAAACAAACTGTCTCCGACTTCAGGGTTAAAGATGGAGACGGTAAGTTGGTATCTGCCTACAAGTCTACATGGTGTCACAACCCAGTACATCATCATTATTGTGTCTATAAAATTGTTCACTCTTAATACTTAACTACTGAAATATTTGTTAAAGGTCTACTTGCAAGTATAGTTCCTGGATTAATATATGATGACTGTAACACAGTGCATCTTGTGCTCGCAACAGTGCAAGATAAAGTACTGATGAATACATCAATTTCTAAGACAGCTAAGCTGCACACATTCAGTACACCAGTTGTGAGATCTCTTTTTGCACTTTATGATTGGAAAGGACCAGTTAAGTGGAACCCCACTGGGAAGAATCGAAATAATGAAATTGAAGATACAAATAAGGTCAGAACTCAGCTGTCTGTGATGTGTGTGTTCTTGAATACAATTGCATCTTCTTCTTCTCTTGCACTACAGCCCTTGGTGGGCTCTGGCATCCCGAACAATATGTCCCCATTTCCGAGGCCTATTATCGGGTTTCTGGACGACAAAATGTTTTCCGGGTATCAGGTCGTCAGCCTAATGCCCCAACCCCCAACCTGGAGGACCAGTGGGCTGCTCTTTGTCTGGTCCCTGCCCTTCGACCTGTCTGGCTTGTGTGACCCTACCAGGAGCTTAAGCTCCAGCCAGCATAGCTCTCAAGGTCCTAACGGGACACACAAACCTCCCCGCCACGGTAAGGCGGCAGCAAATACAATTGTATAGCACTGTTAAATACCTGTGCAGCACATTAAATATTCTCTCCTTCCGTTGCTTTAGATATAACTACCAGATGAGTATCTGCAGGAAGAATATTTGTCTACTGTGCCACGACATGGCCTTCCCACTGTGCACGAGCACTGTTTATAAACTGCAGTCATAATGAGATTGCAGTAATATCAGTCATTTTTTTTAGTTTGTCCCACTATATGCCATGTAGGCGTTTGGGGTGAGTGGAGGTATAGCTCCTCTCTTCCTTGACCTTGGCACTAGATGGGGGTGAGTGGTCAGCATCACGCCCCGGCCGGCTTTACCCCCGGGAGAGGACCCTGATACCCATTGTAGAGGAGGCTGGGTGGGCCCCAGAGCCGGTCTGGACGCAGAGGCTAGAGGAAAAATCCTCTGCCCCCGTCGGGGATCGAACCCCGGCCGTCCAGCCCGTAGCTAGTCACTATACTGACTGAGCTATCCCGGCTCATAATATCAGACATCACAAAGTTAAATTTACTTCCCTGTGTTACTGAAATGTTCTCCGTTGACTCATATGCATTATCCACACCTTATAAACAGATTGTGGCCCATGCTGTACATGGGATACATAAAAATCTCTTCTGCATGTGGTTTGGTTTGGTAGCCTTTAATTTTTTGATACACCCACTGACTGATGGTACCGGCTATGGAAATTAAATCTGGCTGCTGAGTCATGTGAATGCAAAGAATGCGTAACTTGTTTTTTAAGGCCGTGATACTTCCACTTGTGGCAAGGCATTTAAGAGACTTACAAGGTAAATGTTCAAGCTGAGCTCCAATTTTGTCCTACTTTACTTTTGTTACTACTCAGTTTTGATGTCTTGGTTTCTTGTGTTTTAACACACCAGTTGTTCGTACTGTATTGACAGAATTCTGAACAGTGTGTCCGTGGGAACTTGAATGCCTGGAAGCTTCTTCTGAATTTCTTCTTACTCTTAATAGCAGAGTTACACTTCATATAAAACACTCAGTGCTCTATCACAGTGGTATTCAACCTTTTTTGTTCGC